TTGTGTTTATTTTTATACCTTGTGCAACTTGTCTTGTTGTTAGTAAATTGATAATAATCTGATTTATGTTGAAATTGGGAGCCTGTGGCTATTGCGAGGCGGTTTATAAAATGAAATGTGGGTACGAGGTGGCGTGAATTGTGATATGAAATGGGGATATTGGCACGTGAATTGTCCGTGCAGTTGTGATATAAAAATGTGGACACGAGGTGCTGTGATGAAATGATAATGATATTTGGCACGTGAATTGTCCATACAGTTGTGATATGAAATGAGGGCACGGGGTGCCGGGCAAATATGATAATTTAATTATGGGCACGAGGTGCCGTTGAAATATTAAAATGAACTAAGACCCGTATTTTGATGATTTTGAAATGAGGTGTCACATGGTGACTTTTTAATTGAAAGAATTATATTCAAAATATTTATTTGGAAGGATTTTTACTTAGAAAGTATTATATAAAATAATTATATTTTGAAAGATATTTATTTGAGGAAATTGTATTTGAAAAGATTTATTGAAAGAATTATATTTGAAAAATAATTATTTGAGAAAACTATATTTGAAAGAGAGTTATCTCGAAGAACTATGTGAAAGACATTTATTTGAAGGACTTGATTTAATTAGGTGTGATTATGTTTATTAATTGCTGAGTGACATTAATAATATTCATGTTGTCTGTTGTGCATATCACTGGTTGTTTTATTCCGCCTTTATTATTATTATTATTATTATTATTATTATTATTATTATTATTATTATTATTATTATTATTATTATTATTATTATTATTATTATTATTATTATTATTAGTTTCCTATTATTTTATAAATTATATTGCACATGTTATTAGACTAGTGAGTGTCTTGACTATACCTCGTTTCTACTCCATTGAGGTTAGTCTTGATACTTACTGGGCACCGCTGTGGTATGCTCACTCTACACTTCTGCACATTTTGTGCAGAGCCGGGTATTGAAGATAACGGACTTGAGCAGAGTTAAAGCGGGATCGTAAGGATTCAAGGTAGAGCTGCTTGGTTGTCGCAGTCCCTTGGAGTCTTTTCATTTCATTGTACTGTTAACTTGTAATCAAACAGTATTGTATATTCGGTCCTCGTGATCATTCTATGTATTCAGTTAGAGTTCGTGACTCAGTACTACCAGTCTTGGGAGGTTGTATATTGTAATTATTTCCGTTGTTAGTAAAAAAAAATGGCTTCAAAAATATAATAAAAATCGGCTTACCTAGTCTTAGAGACTATGTGCCATCACGACTCCTATGGTGGGATTTTGGGTTGTGACATGTTGGTCCTCATTTTAAAATTTCTAGTCAACTGAAAGTCACTTTTACTGGTTTTAGACCAAAAGCAAATATAAAGTAATTCACTTTTCGAAAACAAAACATTTCAAAAGATACGAAATCACACATTCTTATTCTGAAATTAAGACGCAATAATTTACGTATTATTATTTGATCAAAAATCAACTTTTATTAATCGAAAAGAATGGGGCAGGGAGTACTCTTTCTGTTCCACTTATTTGTTTGATACAACTTTCTAATATTAATTTTTAACAAGAAAACAAATTTGAATAGTTTATTGAGTAGACAAATCTGTTCATGGATCCCAAGGGAGATTCCGTACCAATATTCTAGAGAGAAGAAAGAGAAGAAGAGAAAAAAAAAAAGGAAAATAATGTAACTAAATTCCTTGATTGAAGGCACTAATAATGAACTGAGAGCCTTTTAAAGTGAAATGTATATATTTTTTAAACAAAACTTGTGTAGGTCAGATAAATACTAAAACATGAATATTTTTCGTAATAAAATTTCAAATAATGTATATGAAATTCCAACACTAAAAGCCCATTATTTATAAGAATAAATTGGAAATCCACATGTTTCCTGGGTCATCTAGGTGCAATCTAAAATGTAAAATTAGAAATTGGAAATTTTCTCAATTAATATATAATTATCTAAAAGAAACTTAAGACGCGACATCAGCTAAGACGCAACATCAGCTGATAGTGAAAAGGCTAAAAAGTTAAGGTGCAATTCTTAAATTTAGCGAGTCAGAGGTCATATCTTAAAACTTGCTTACAATCTACAGAGACCTTTAAATGCTAGAAACAATCTTTCTGATTCTTGAGCCTTTTTTTTTTTTTGGGGGTTTGTTGAGTTCGATTTCATTTCCAAAGGTTATTACCTGCAGAATTAGAATGAAATAGCCGTTCCAATGTGTAGAGTCAATTAGTTATGTGGTCAATTACAAGTTTTTCTTTAACTTTTATGTCAAATTTCCAAATAGATTTATTTTAAACATCTGAAATAAAATATAGGAAATCTCTGCTATTCAAATAGTAAATAATATGAAGTACTATTATTTTGAATCACTTCCTCTTAATTGTTTATCATCGATGATACAGAGCCAAGAAAAAAGAACAAAGAAAATACTTATGCACGGAATATAGGTACATAACAATACAGCAGCAGTTGGTGGAAAAAAAACAATACATTAGCAGCTAGCAAACATAAAAATCATACTTTAAGTTGCAGACAGAGAGTAATAAGCTGGCGAATAATAAGTGCCAGAACATACGAGTAAAAACTAAATACAGACAAGAAAATAAAAATAAAATCCACTGATAGTATTAGCGCTTCCTATTTGCTGGCTCCTTATGGGCATTGAAATAAACAGTGGCGACGGGAACGCCGAGATCAAGCTGATGCGCAAACGCCCGAGTGCAGAAATGAGACCTAGCTAGTGGCGGCTGCAAAATTCCCGGCATTGGCCCCTTCTGTCGGAAAAGTACCACTATGTACCTGTGGATCCCCACCGGCGGACGTGGCCCCATATACCCCAATACCTCCTTCCCTGCAATTTATATTTTATACCCATTCAAAATTAGTGAATTACTTGCCAAATTGTCTTATTTTAGCCCTCACAGTAAAAGGAGAAGTGAGATATGGAGTGGACACGTGGCAGGAAAAATGCTTACTAGGCTAACTCCGGCTTACATCTAGCTGTACAAAGGAAAACGAATTTGGACTTTAGAGATTTATTCTTTTAATCTTTACCAGAGCTCTCTCTTCTTTTCGTCTTTTTCTTTCTTATGTGTAAAGGAACAGAGTGTTATAATTTGGGTCTCACTAAAATTCAGAAAGAGAGGCTCGATTTCTTTAATATGAAAGACGACGTGTCATAAAGAATGAGCTGAGGATTATATTGTCCAAGACCATATTAAGGGGATCCATTTAATTTTTTCCCACCTAATGTGCGACTCAACAGCGTAAGAACGTAATTAATTCGAATGATTTTTTCGTTTGCATGGAATTTGGTTTGCTGCTTCATTTTTTGAGAGTCAGCTAAGTAACAGTGAATGTTTTCTGATTTTGGAAATGCTTGAAATTAAATGATTAATTTACCTCGAGCGACGTTAGTGCACCCTGGTATGTCTGTCACAATCCTGAAGCAATCCGAAATACGTGTGAGGTGGTAAACACATAAAGAAAAATAGTCAACAAATTAAAAGGAGAAAAAAAAGATTAAGAGAGAGGTGATCAGATGAATTTGCTTAGGAAAAATACTGACCAATGCACCCACTCTCGCATATTTGGTTCACTAGGACTAGGAGCATCTGGATCCGTCATAACCTACACCATCAATCGCCACGCATGTATTAATTTTCTATATTTTCTGATCTTTTTATCGAGCATGGAATTTAAGAAAAAATAATCATTTTAATATATTATTCTGAAGTTATTTATATATTATAATTTTAAACATATTTTATTACTATAAAAAAATATTATTAAATATAAAATAAAAAGTTTAACATTAAAGAATTTTCAAATATAGAAAGCACTATTCTTATAAAATTTAAATTTAATTAAAGGTCTTCTAAATATAAAAAGATATTACGCTTCTTTTAAAGGATTAAAAAGTGTCACATAAAATAGAGCGGAGAACGACGAACCAGAGTGTAAAGGTCAGCAGCATGGCCACCCACAGTGATTTTTGGAGGATCAGCCGCAATAGAGGGTTTGATATCGCAACCATTTGTAACATGTTTGTTGCCAAAGTGCACAGACATAGTGACACTGGGCACGAACATGTCCACTACATCCCCAATTACTCTTCCAACCACCAACGGATCAACTTTTGCAGCCATTAAAATGGAAATATATGTTTGTTGGGAAGTAAAAATGGATATATAACACTAATTTGAGGTACTGGGGTTTAAATAGCAGCATGAAGGAAAAGACAGTCCTTAAGGGATTTTGTGCAACCTACGTTGTGAACATGCATAGGGCAATAGAAAAAACAAGGCAACACGTGTCATGTGATTCCTCTGCCCTGAAACTAAAATCCATAAGAATTTCTTAATAAGGTCTTGACACGCGTTGTTACTACGAGGAAAATCTGCCATCAGTTACAGAAGAAAAAAGAGGAGTACTATAATGGAAATGGATCCAACAGCTAAAAAGCTAGAATTCACTGTGCTTAAGATAAGGAGATGAAACAATTGAAAGGCGATATTTAATGGGGTTGTCCATGTAAAACATGCATGTATTGCAACTTTCCTTTTGCTTTTTTTTTTGGTACTGCTTCTGTCTTGCTTTTGATTTGTTGTTTCCCCAGAAATCCCACACCCCTACGAACACCCAAAGTGCGCAAGGATTCCCTCGTTAAAGTGAACGTTAAGATCGTCAGTCATAACTTCTTTCACAAACGTAAAAAAGATACACTTGATTCTCTTTTTCTGTGCACTCAATTCGAGTTGAAGTACTCGTTTCTCATTCTTTAGCAACTATTCTAATAACGAATTACCTTAGCGTATTTATGCAACAAGGACTTCATTTATATGCAAATTGCACTATATATCAAGTTACTGAAAAGCAAATTACATGTAAAATAATCAGTCAATTAAACATTGCAACAAGGATTAGTCTCAAACAAGTCGGGTTGACTCTATGAATTCTTTCTGATTAAATTTATTCATTTAAGCTCAACTCGTGCTATCATCATACCAAATAAAAATAAAAGTGAGAAATAAGTTGAATACATATAAATTTTAACAATATTTGAATTTTTTTTTACTGGAAAATAAATCTATGATACTCTAGAAAAGTAGTAGGTTCAACTAGTAGTGTCAAGTATATGGATCTTTTTCTTCAAATGTGTCATATATATTAGCTAAGCCTTTGATTCCACAAAAACTAAACATCGACATAAAAAATCTTTACATAATTAACTAGTGCTGTACGACACACATGAAATGCTAGGTTTACGCAGATAAGATTTGTGAAAACTGAAAATGGGAAAAGTGTATATTTGGTATATATATAGAGTGATATATGAGGCAATTCCACAGTCTACACTAGTTAAAATTGTAAAAGAGATTAAGAGTATAATTGTTTGATAATATAACAGTCCTTTTTTTCTCTGTAGAATCTTTGTGAAATCGGTCAGATACGTACTTATGTCATCTTTAACTTTTAAGTGCTCCAAATTATAAAATTTTAGTGCCAAAATTGACTTTGAACGACTACTTTTTAGTCTTCCCTTTAATGGCATGTTTGGATTCGATGAAAATTGTTACAGAACTTTGAAGCATAGTAAGTCAAGTTGCTTAAGTATTGAAGCACAAATTCCAGATTCATTTGAATATTAAGGATAGATTTGAATTTTTACGTTGCGGGCATATAAGTAGCTGAAAGTGGAAAGCAAGAAAATATATTGAGATCTTTATTAAGTAGTCTAAATCATAAAATAATTGGATTGTATTACCCTTAAAACGAAAGACTTGCAGTAAATTTAGTGTACGTAATCTTGATTATATTTTGGCTTTCATTCTACTAGTTCAAAAATTTATTATCCAGGACTTCCCTTTTCTTTTAAAAGATGTATTAGAACATTGTCATATATATAGTTGGAACGCCAATGATTTAGGGTAAATTGTATCGTTTGAAGGGGAGCCTTGGTGTAACTGGTAAAGTTGCTGTCATGTGACCAGGAGGTCACGGGTTCAAGCCGTGGAAACAGCCTCTGGCAGAAATGCAGGGTAAGGCTGCGTACAATAGACCCTTGTGGTTCGGCCCTTCTCCGGACCCCGCGCATAGCGGGAGCTCAGTGCACCAGACTGCCCTTTTTTGTACCGTATTTAAGCAAAATCGTCTGGAGTTATTTTCTTTTTCATGTGATCAACAAAAGTTACTATTTAGCTATTTTATACTATTCAATTGCAGGAATGAATGAACGCTTTCCTAATCAAAAGATAGGAGAGCACCCCTTCTCCCGAAGTTACGGGGTCATTTTGCCGAGTTCCTTCGATATGGTTCTCTCAAGTGCCCTAGCCCAAGGTTAGATTTCTAAGCCTTATTTTAACTTAAACTTCTGCAAATATTTACTTCTACAAGTACTGTAGTAACTTTACTTCTACAAATATATTAACCTATGGAGTCTATTGTGTAGAAAGAAGTTAAGAATTCGTCTATTACGATCATTTTCCTGCAACTAAACCTTCTCATTAGTTCAATCCTTATCATCGTTATTGCAATAGTGCTTTGGCTAAGCTAGCAAGTTCTGGTATTTCAATTTCACAGTAGCACTATCAAGGAACAGCCACAGCTTCATTCATTTGCTGAACAGTCGTTACACAACCACAAAAATTACAATTTTCACTAACCTAAATCAACAAATACAGAGGAATGAATTTACCCTACGAGACATTTGAACAAGGACTATATTTTTTAGAACAAGGATCAAGTGCTGTAGATTAACTAGTATCTGGAGAGCAAAGCAATGAAGCATATGTATACTAAAAGAAAAGGTAGGACATAAGGATAAGTTGATGCTTGAACAGCAACTGCAGAAGATTGATCATTGATCTCTGAGGAGTCGACTGCAAATGGCATGCCATCGCTGTTAAGCGTGCACGACTGAGGATCAGAACTGCTTTTGCTCAACATTAGAGCCCTCAAAACAGCAGAAACTGTATGAATATAACCTGATCTGTTTTTGTTGAGAAGCCAAGTTAGACCCATCAATTGGCAATCTCTGCTGCGCATTTTCCTAGTCCTATCCTCTGACCTGCTCTTGTTTTCGACTCTGCCCTCACTAAGCTGCATTGTCGTTCAATGCATTAGATAAGAAACATTAACCTTCTATTGGTAAATCTGTTAGATAAGAAACATTAATCTTCTATTGGTAAATCTAACTAGTTAGTACCACCTTATACCGCATGCTTAGTCATTTGACAAAACTCACACTTTCACATGATTCCCAACACCAAGTACAAAATTCTTTTAGCTAACAAACAGATGCATATTTGCAGGTAAAATGTCATCAACCAGGGCTAAAAGAATTTACAATACCAATGATAAAAGTAATTTGAGATAAAACTGCTCAAAATACAGGAACTACAACTGGCAACGGACACCCTAATGAGAGGTGATGTCATGAGATTTGAGTATCCCCCCACTCCACTCCAATAGAGGATCCAGCTAAATATCAGCTCAAGTTGATATTAGGGAATATTCCATATTGCTTTTTCGGTAAACTAAAAGGTCTTAGGAGGCTCCTAGAATTCCAATGACCCCTTCTAATTCTGACTCCTCTTTCCTCTTTTCTTTTTTCTTTTTTCCTTAATAAGAAGGAACTAAGAAAGCAATTTAGAGGAAGAAAACCACACACAAGCAGACCAAATATCAGAGGAGTTGCCGTCTGAACAACCGCTAGACATACTAGTATATATTTTTCCCTGCTGTATGAGATCAATGCCTATTTATTCTAGTTTAATTTGACTACCCTATATATACAAACAGGTGGTGATACTTTATTACTGACATGCATTAATTCTGTTTTTTTTTTTTTGGTGATCGATATGCATTAATTCTGAGCCCTCTAATAATGTGATTACCTTCATTCAAGCTTAGTGTAGAGTGTAGACACTTCAATGGATGAGCGAACTAAGTTTAGAAGTTGTACCAAAGCTGAATTAAACATGAAACTTATGTCGAGCTGCTCTCCTTGAAAGGAATGTCACTGCTCTAAGACTGTTTTACAGATCAATCTTTCTAGTATATGCAGGTGAAGAAAGAGTAATTGAGAACAAGAGAAGATGATTTTGACTTCTGTACCTGACGCGGACATCATCATAGAAGCTACCTTAGTTTAACTAAAAATATACAAACTAAGTCCATTGGGTTCTGAAAACTTAGCCACTTAGGTGCCATTTCTGTCGCGGAGCATTAAAGCCTTGCAACTGTCAAGTATTACAAGAAAATTACAGAGATAAGCATATAGAGAGATTACTTAAATCAAAAAGAGGTGTTATTTGAACAGACATGGAATATGAATTTTGGTCATAGTTTATAGATGCAATGTGTTATCTTCATCAACTTTGCCGGATATGGAAGTGCACGGTAGCCCTAGCCCCGGATATTTGTAACAAACAAAACCCCACGAAGCTCATACTTTCTCTTCTTTCTTTATCTATAGACTATAATTCACCATTTTCCCGCATGTAAACTTAATTTTAAAAAGCAAAGTAGACAACTTTCCCAATCTTTCACATTTCATATCAACATCTTGACATTTTCACTCTATATTTCAGACCCACATTATGCCAAATATAAATAATTGTATCAAGGCTGCAGCTTTTATATTACTCATTTAGAAGAAGAAGAAGACTGTTAACGTACCAGATAAAGACTGTTCAAGCACTTGGAGCAACCAGCAAGACCAGTATACCCATTACTGCTCAAACAATCTCTTTCCAATTTCTTCACGCTTTTATCACCCACCAATTTCCCTTGTGAATTCACAGCGAATGCTTCTGGGCAACTAAGCGGATGCAGCCTAATCCCACAGTAACAATAAACTACATCACAAGTCTCATTTGGCTTCACCAATTCAATGCCTCTGTTTCCTAATGCCTTTTCAAGTGAGTCCACACACGTCTCAGAATCATCTGGAAGCACAGGCATATCAACGGACGTCGACTGCGGGAGCTTCGTTACTGCTCTGTGAAGTGCGGTTTCAGAGTAAGCCGAGTAGAGCCACGCGGCTAGAACCGGGCAACAACGGGTCCGGTGTACTTGACCCGAATTACTTCTGGACCCACAGGATGACTTAATGCTGTGGTAGAGTTCATCAGGGAGATCTAAAGGGCAACCGGCGACGTTGGACTGCTCCGGGAAAGCGGGAATTGTGGCCGGCGGTGAAGGGGAAGGTAA